ACCCTTTTCATCAAAACTGCCTGCAGCCATGTCAGATCCTTCATTCAGATGCATGCTTGTGCTTGTTACATTGGCACTGTGGGTTCCTCAATGGCATTTCCATTCAAGGGAATATGTGGAAAAAGGTGCTCTCTCTGTTTGCCTGCAGGCCCCGCAATTCACAACTGTACATCCTGATATATTCCAGCATTCCACTGCTTGCTCTTCTACTTACAATCGTGGTGGTGGCTGTTGTGTCAAGGTGCAAGAGGACAGGTTAGAGCAATGCTGTGCTTTCGGAACATCACTGGGCTATCACCCCCTCTCTGCACCCCCTTTGTATCTTCTTCCTCTTGAACCAAATCCATGAACCCCACTATGTAAGTTCTCTCTGCACTGCATTCCTGGAGAAAAGTGCAAGACTGCAGGCTTCTGCAGCAACTTCCACAGCACCAGTGCAAGGAATGGGTTGGGGAGGACGTCCTTCCGAGTAAATATGCTTAAGTTGCGGCTGCGTGGCCAACGTCTTGTGCCTGTTTGCATGAGAGGAAGCCTCAGTAAAAGAAACAGTTGTATGAATTTCTGAGTGGAAATGCAAAGAATGAAAAAGTATCTTGCCTTCCTGGCACGATGGATGACTATCAAAAGGCAAGCCATCCCAGCCAGCGGAAGGATGAGAAGGCAAAACGTGTCTGTGGGAAAGATTATGAACAAAGCTGGTTTCTACACTTCCAAACATGCTTTGAACTTTCCTCTTCTGCAGAGGGAAATGAGATTTCTGCAGGGGAACCTGGTTGGCTACTCCCCCCACAGCTATTACGGGTGTGGCCACCCTGGTTCCATTTTATCTGGCATCCTAGCAGCTGCAAGAATTTACACGGGCCTGGTGGCAACAGGTAGCAAAATGGGAAAGTGCTCTCTGCTGGCGCTTTCTGCAGGATTAGCACGGCTTCAAGGTCCAGTACTGTCATTAGGATTATCCTTAGCAGATGCAGTTAATTCTAGGGAAAGTCTACCCAAGCAGATGCTTCTTACTACCTAACCTGTTGTTGTGCCTGTTAATTTGACCTACCTGATTTCTGATTTATATGCCTATTTCAGGATCATGCTTGGTGAGAAAAAAAGAAAGACAAGTATCAAACATGGTAAGGAAATCACTGACTTCTCCCTATGCAATCTGAGCACCAGGTTTCCAAGGATTCCATGATGTCACAGAGAGAGCTCTCTTCATCATGAACACTGATTTTGGATATCCGCTCAGATCTCTGAAATAATTTGGCTCTGCATTTTGGCCCAGTGGCAGTGCAGTTCCTTGCATCACCATGCAGAAATAATCCTACTGAATTCAATGGTGCGGACTTCCAGGTAAGTGTGGACAACACCGCAGCCCAAGAATTCATTTTCCACCAAGAAGAATGCAGCAGCTACCCAATGGAAGGCACCGTCCTCTGAAGGGTGTAAAAGAAAAATATCTTGCAGCTCCTACCATGCCCCAGCTGGGATGACTAGCTGGAGAATGCTGGGGACGGTAGGCTGCATTTCCCATCCAAACATGCCTAGGGCTGTGTCCTTAATATCGTAAATGTTAAATGTAAGGGAATATTTCCACCCTTATCTACTAAGTGCATTCTAGCACTTCAGCTCCCCTTTACTGAGATAAATTTTGTACTAGCTGGAATTCAGTTTCGGAAGTTTGGTTCTGATTGGGCCAGAATCAGTTCTGGAACTGAAAACCTACCGCATGCTAAGCACTTAAATTCCAGTGCTTCCAGATTCTCTTTTCTCAGTGACAACAGCTCAGACAAAATGACAGGCCAGAAGAGGCAGGGAGAGGAGTGCTGCTTTGGTTGCTTTCCTGCTCTACCTACTATTCTGCTGATCTCCTACGGAAACTGCTAACTTTTCTTGACCTGTAAAGAACAGAAGTAAGTTCTGTTCAGGTCAATGAAATATGCTTTCAGGTATGCATGGCAGGGGTGCTGAACTTCAGCCCCACCACTCAATTCCCCCCTGCCAGGAGTCCAAGCCTATTTGGTGGTGCCATAGAAAATCTTGCCCCTTCCTTTGCTCCGACCTGCTTTCTCCCAGCCACAAATCTTGTGGTGGTTTCTTAGCTTTTATCCATGCTTTTTTAGGGCAGCCACTT